TTTTTTTTTTTAATTCAACGTCAGTTTCAAGTAACTATCATACTTTTCTGTTGTTTTTTCTGCTTTGTTTATTTGTTTTACAAATTGGCATTTTCTATTGAAGCCCTGTTCGTAAATTACACAAGGTGTTTTACGAATTCTATCCAATCAGCTGGCACAGGTAGCAATAGTCAGAGCCCCGAGCAAGTCATTCAGCTGTTCTGGTGATAGAGCAGTCTGACAGCCAATCAAGCGCACTAGTCTAAGGGGCGGGGTTTATACATTGTAGCGGAAGAGAATGCGGCGGTCCTTCCTTTTCTAGCCAACTTGGCTGAAGTCTACCCAGGACTACACCGACGGACTTTATTAAAGTTTCTGCCGCGGTGCCCCCCCAGGTCCTGACATGGCCCCCAGCACGCAGCTGAAGGAGGCGATAGCCGATGTGCAGGACGGCATTCGTGCCATCCTTCTTGGACCTCCTGGAGCTGGGAAGGGGACTCAGGTGAGAGCAGAAATATCCAGACGAGCTAATGAGCTAGCATTAGCTGTTAGCGGCTAGCCTGAAATATAAGTAGTGTATTCTAGGCGCATGGTCGGTGCTAATGCTAGCCTGCCATGCTTTAGAGCCAGCTGTCAGTCTCTTTATCTCTAGGTATATGTTCTAATCCTCTATGTAATAATAAAATTTACTCTCACAACATCATTAATGTCTGAGTTTCTGAGAAATTTCAATGCATTATCTGCTTTTAACTTCACAGTGAAGTGCATACCGAAACCTCTACCAGCCAAATTTGTTACAGCTATTTTAATGTGTTTGTCTTTTTTTCTTTTGGTGCTATTTCGAAATAAAAGTTTAATACTGGACTCCTCCCAAAAGCAGTTTATACATTTGTTATTATATATTGAGTATATTATGCTGTTTACAGGCTACAGAAGCATAAAATTGTTTTAAGTTCACAACTGAAACAAAAACTCTTTATATGATATATGAAGCAGCAGGAAAAGTACAAACCCATATTTATAAAAACCTGCAGATTCAGTTTAATACATTGTTATTAAAATTAGTTTTCCTGTTGTTTCTCCTTAAAAACCTGGAGCATCTGTGGTTTATTTTAAATAACGTTGTGTTGTTGTTGACAGGTGAATTGT